GTGCTGCTCAGCCTGCTGCCAGCAGCAGCCAAGCCGCTCAGCCACCTCAGTGGGACCCTCGGTTGCGTGCAGCACGAGGCTGGTACGAGTCGGCCTATGAGTGGCGCATCGTCTCTTACGCCATGCATGCACAGGCCAAGCTTGATGCGCACGATGCTGGCCAGCTGCTCTTTTACGTCCCAGCAATCGACAGACCAGCTGCGCGCCTCGCGAAGCCTGATTACGACGAGATGCGCGCGGAGCCCAACATCGGCGCTACCGCAAAAATGCCGGGGCTGCTGCCGCTCTTCGTTGGCATGGAGGTCATCCTGACAGAATCCGTCTTGCCGCCGAAGTATGTCCGTGGCGCGCCAGGCAAAGTGGTAGGCATAGAGCTGCACGCTCTGGAGCCTCCGGTGGAGGGCCGCCCGTCCATTGTCTCGGACGGCGTGGTCGTACTCTACTACATGCCAAAGGCCGTCTATGTCAAGATCGATGACAGCGATGAACTTTTCTTGAAGGCCGCGCCGGTGACAGCTGGCAGTGCTTCTCAGCCTGCCGGCCCCGACCTGCGCGGAGTGCTCGCGATCACCCCGCAGGCGCGCCCCTGGAAGTTCAAAGCGAAGACAGGTGGCCCGGCCATCGCGGTGTCCAGGACGCAGTTGACCGTGCTGCCCAAAAAGCAGGGGGCTCTGCATGGCGTCCAGGGCAAGACGACGGACCCAGGCTTCATCGTGCACTGGACGTTTCCGCCAGGACTCAAGAAGGAGTCCATTTGGTTTGCCTACTACGTCAGCCTGTCGCGCCCCAGAAGCTTCAACCAACTCTTGAGCCACGGCTTGCCTGACCGGAGCATCATCGAATCCGGCCCCCCGGAGCAGATCGCCAAGGCCTTTGCCGAGCTCTTCGCGGACAAGATTGCCGCGACGAAGATCGCTTGCGCGAAGGCCCGACAGCAACTGGGATGGCCTGCGCGAGCTTGAGGAGTCATGAGATGCAGGTTGCGTTGTGGCGGTGCTGTTCAGTCTGTCCGTCTGCATTCGCGTGGTGCTTCTCAGCCTACATGCGCGTGGTGCTTCTCAGCCTGCGCTCGTGTGCAGCTGTGCGCGGTGAACCTGCGCGTGTCGCGGAATGCTTTTCAGCCTGCGCGTGTCTGCAATGCTTTTCAGCCTACACGCTTTGCAGCTTCTCCGCTTCGCACGCCGCTCCTCAGCGCGGTCCTCTGAAAAAAGATCAGGCATCATCTCATCTGGATGTTCATCTGAATCTTAAGGGGAATGCTTTCAGATATGCTTCTACACATCGCTGTTAGGTTGCTTTGCCGGGATAATTTTGTAATCGCCCCTTTCCAGGTGAGAAACCATATAGAATTCACGGAAACTATTTTTGTTAGTCGTCCCCCCTATTTTTTATTCAGCGTCACCCTGCATAAACCGACACGTCTGGTGTTGCGAAGTGTGTAGAGGCGGTGGTGGAGAGGTGTGGGGGACAAGGATGCTGCCCGTGATGATGCTGCTGATGATGATGGTGATAATGACGGTGCTGATTATGATAGTGATGATGATGATGATGATGATGATGATGACGATGCTGATGATGATAATGACGATGGTGATGCTGCTGATGATGATGGTGATGGCAATGGTTGTGACAGTGACGATGGTGACGATAATGGTGGTGGTGTTGGTGAGGTTGAAGGTATTCATGCGGCTGCCTCTGCAGATGAGGATGATGATTGGTATGATTGTGCTCGCGATGGCGACGACTATGATGATGATGATGATGATGATGATGATGAGGACGATTATGATGGTGGCGGTTGTGATAACGACGATGTTGATGTTGCTGCTGATGGTGATTGTGAGAATGATGATGATGTTGATGATTAAGATGATGTTTATGATACTGATGACGCTGATGATGGTGATGATGATGTTGATGCTGGTGATGATTGTGAGTGATGGTGGTGCTGATGATGATGGGGGCGATGACGACGATGCTGACGACGACAATGACGAGGATGGTATTGTTGCTGCTGATGGTGATGATGACCATGCTTGTGGATGCTTGTGATGATGGTAATGCTTAATGATGAGGATGGTGATGATGCCGCTGATGAGACCATGATAATATCTATATTTTGAAAGAAAGGGGGGGGGGGCGATAGCTTACGCCCCCTCTTTGTTCTGGTCCGACGTCCCCTAAACAAGCCTTGCACTGCGAGAGGACGGTCACGAGGCCAACGCGGGATGATGATGACGACGATGTTGATGAGAATGATGATGGTGATGCTGTTGAGGATTAGGAGGGTGATGAGGAGGATCATGCTCATGACGATGATGATGATGGTGATGATGATGCTGATTATGATGATGTTTATACTGATGATGATGCGCATGAGGAGCTGAGGATAATCATGTTGCTGGTGGTGGTGATGATGATGGGTGATGATGATGATGATGATGATGATGATGAGGCGGAGGCCGAGGATGAAGCGGAGGAGGCGGATGATGGTTGTGATGAGATTGTTGCTGCTGATGATGTTCGTGATGACGATGATTGTGGTGGTGGTGATGATGCTGATGACGATGATGCTGTTGATATTGATGCTGATGATGATCCTGATGATACGAATGGTGGTGGTGATGATGATGCTGATGATGCTGGTGCTGATAACTGTTATGCAGATGGTGATGATGCTAATGATGGTGATGATGGTGATGGTCATGCTGATGTTGATGCTGCTGCTGCTGCTGCTGATGATGATGATGATACTGTTTTCAGTATTGTTTTTTCTTATGAATATGTTTGTTACTGTTCCGTTATGTGGTGTTATGTTATGATGATGCTGATACTGATGATGATGGTGATGGTGATGGTGATGGTGATGATTGTGATCCTGATAATGATGATGTTGCTGCTGCTGATGAGGATGACGATGATGATGACCATGAACGTAATTATGATCATGATGATGAACATGAGGAGATTGAGGAGGACCAGGACGAGGACGAGGACGAGGAGGATAAGGAGAATAAGTATGAGGAGGGGAAGGAGGAGGACGAGGAAGAGAAGTAGAAGGAGGAGGAGGAGGAACTGAAGGAGGAGGAGGAGAAGCAGAAGGAGGAGGAGGAGGACGAGGAGGATGAGAACGAGGAGGAGGAGGAGGAGGAGGACAACGAGGAGTTTGTGGTCCGCCTGTGGATGCCGAACGTGCCGGTTGCAGGTCCGCAGGTTGTGCACCAAGCATCGCGCTCACTCCCATGAGCGAGGAAACCAAGGTGGGTACGATCAGGAGGATGAGGAGGAGGATGATACGGAGGAGGATGCCTCGGAGCCCCGGCCCGCCCGGCGCGCACGCGCGCGAAAGACGGCCGCCAGGGTCACGCGTAGGATGCGCCCTCGGCCGCGGCTCCTGGCGCCGCCGCCGCCTCCCGCCGATTGCGGGCTGGCGGCCCCGCTGGCGCTCTCATCGTCCGCTGTTCGCGCGGTCCGCTGGCTGCTCCTTGAGGCCTTCAGAGTGCAGTCGCAGGGGACTCTTCCTTGGGGAACCAAGAAAGACTGACATACGTTTGCAAACTCGGAGGCCCGTGGATTCCTTGGATCGCCGCTGGGGCCCCTTGGCGGCGCTTCCGGCGACGACCCCAGCTCGCTCCGCGCGCCAGGCAGAGTGACCCAGCGCCGATCCAAGAAAAGCGCGCGAACCTCAGAGTTTGTATGGTTATGTCATTCTTTGCTCCCCTATCCTTGCCCCACCCTGCCCCTGCCCTGTCGGAGGGCGGGGGGGGCGAGTCGATGGGAACGAGACCGTGCCTGGGAATGGGTGGGGAGCTCCGGATCCTGGAGGGCGAAGGTCGAGGATCGAGTGTCGAGGATGGGTGTGTGCTCTTTCTCGGGCCTCTGCGCCGCAGTAGCGCATTCGATCCGGAGGGTGCTCTGCTGCTGGGTCAGGGGCAGCAGTCCACAGGCCTTGAAGGCGAACATGTGTGTGGACCCCTTGCCCCCCGCCCCCCCTGCCCCTGTCTGTCGGAGGGTGGGGGTGGGGGCGTGCCCTGGAGGTACGCCAGCCTCTGGAGTGCGGTCGTGCGTCAGCCTCGGCTTGAACGTCTGTGCCACCCCCAGCCGGGTACGCGAAGACGCGGCAGGTCTGTGTCGCGTCGGCGTGGCGGCGACCCCGGCGCGGGCGTTCGAGGTTGAACGCCGCCGGTGGCCTAGATTTGGCCGACATTGAACGATTTGTGCCATCAGGAAACCGCGATTGCTCGAGAATGAACGATCCGCGCGGTGTCAGAAACCAACGCCGGAGTCTTCGCGACACGAGCTTGCCGTTCTTGCCCTTGGCGCGTCGCGGCCCAGGCTGCTCTTCCACATGTGCTCGCCGCGAGGTCACGGAGATCACCGCGCATCGCGGGGAGCCATGCGCGAAGCTAGGCGTTGGGAGCATATCAGGCTCCTCGTCTTTTCGTGAGCCTATCGGTGCATTTCCTGACACGTACGTGGTGCATCCGTAGCGGAGTTTAGCTACCAAAAGCGAGGGGGGGGTCAGCGTCTTTTTGTCGTGTTCCCATGCTGTCGGTCGCTTGCTGTATGCGTTCTACAGTGTGCTTTCGAAGCGATTCTTTGAGTCTGCCCGCAATACCTTCTGCGCACCCTCCAGAAAAGTGTAGCCTCGTCACCTTCGTTCAGGGGCATCGATCGGGGGGTCAGGCTCAAGGGGGGATGCGTCGACCCCCAATCGTCCATTCATCGTGGGTCGGTGCCCGATAGCCCACCCCGCCCAGGACGGTGGGGATTCGCTATCGGGGGCCTTATCGCCGATCTGTCGGCGATGCATTGCAGATTCAAATTCGATGCTTCTCACCCTGCATTGAGATCCCCCTATCGTTTCCCCACGTTCATTCTCCTGAAGCCCGCACCACTGGGCCGGTGGCTTCGTGTAGCCGTCGTCCTCGCCGTCAGTGTCCCCTGAGTGCAGCGGGTCAGACGCTCGGGGCAGTGTGTCATGTTGCGGCGCGGCGGAGGCCATTAAATCAGCGCGCGGCCGCCGTCTACCTCGGGCCGCCCCTTCCTTTCCTGTGGCCGTCCTGGGACCCACCTGATGGCTCTGCTCGACTCTTGCTCGAATCTAATTCGACTCTAGTTCGGCTCTAGCTTGACTCAAGTTGGACTCACGTTCGACTCTAGCTCGACTCAAGTCGACTGACGTTCGACGCAGCATCGACGCATGAGTGAAGCGAGTGGCTCCAGGAAGGTCCCAGAATGAGCATGCATGTTCCCTGCCGACACTGCTTCTTGTCCGTCCTCGTTGCCACGGCCGGGGTCGAACTTCGACCTGTGATCCAGGGTGTGTGCAGTAGCGGATTTCGTGTGAATCTCCATCGGTAAGTTGGTAAACAAACACTGGTGGCGGTTTCAAGAAGTCGTTAGCAGTATGCAGTCTTCAGAGCCGCAAGGCTCTCGCGGTCGGAGCCCAGCGTGCCACGCCTACTCGCGAGTCGTGCTGTCCTGGAGCGCGACCTGTCGCTTCCTCCATTACCCGCGAGCCAGTGTTGCAGGCCAGACAGCTTCTCGCCAGATCTGTGTTCTTCCGCTCTGAGCGACCCAGAGCGACGGGTTCGATTTTGCCGGCATTCGCGCCTAAGGTCCCTGCGCAAGGTCGCGCTTGTGTTCGGCGGCGTGCCCAGGGGGGAAGTGAGAAGGGGCCCGACCCTCTCAGAAGGCTCGGAAGTTCCGTGGCCTTGTGAGAAGTGGTCTAAGCACTCCCCGCAGGCGCGGAAAACTTTGCAGGTGGCCGGAGGGCTTCTGAGAAGTCTCGCCGCCTTCTCAGAGGGCCTTCTCCTTCAACATTCCCCCTCGCTCGCCGCCGATGAGCACCCTCTTTTCCGCGCGGTGTGCCACTCTGGCGGATCACGGAAGCCGCGGGGTAAGGTCGCAATGCCATCGTGCGTAAGACCCGCTTCTTGTCGTCTCTCATCTGCGGGGCCCAGCGGCTTTACTCTTTCCCTGGGGTGTCCGGCTCAAGGGCGCTTCCTCGGTGGCGAGCTGCTGTTCCTGCTGTGGGCTTCCTGCCTGCAGCCCGCTTGCTGCTGCGCCACAGAGCAGCGTCCGCTTGCCAGCGAGGCGTGCCCGCGACCTCGACAGGACCAACAGGCGACAAGAATATTGTCTTTCGGAGGGGCGGCGCCGGAGGCTCTGCCAGAGGGGCCCAACGCCGATCCAAGAAATCCGCGCGGACCTCAGGAATTATGTGATTGCCGTCTGGTTCCCTTAAACTCTGTCCGCGACCCGCGCCCGACGTGCTCCCGTGACAGCATCGCCTGGCACCCGCGCCGCGACGCGCGCCCCCATGGTCCCCGACCACGAACTTTGTCCGAGGCCAGAGCCTTAGGTGCCTGCCTCAACCGCCTGGTGGCCCCGCGAGACAGACGGGAGTGGCGTGTCTGGTTGTCGGCAGAAAGACGGGGTCCAGGGTTAGTTTTTCATTTGTTCTGTTTCTGTCGCGAGTTTGTATTCTATGTGTCCAGGGGCAACGTAGGGGGGATAGTCTCAGGGGGGATACATCGACCCACGACCGTCCAGCCCACAGATCGCCGACATGGGGCCCGATGGCCTACCCCGCCCAGGAAGGTTCGGATTCACTACCGGGGGCATATCGCCGACCTATCATTTATCGTCGATGTATCGCCGATTGCAGCTCGAGTTCATTGTTCAGGAGCGCTCGGGGCGCACCTGCTGTGCGACTGTGAGTGTGTGTCTTCATCTGCCAACTCACTAAGCCAGGTGCCATTGCTTTCACAATGGCTTGCCCTGCGCCGACCAACACCTGAACGCCTGGTGGAATTTGGCATGCTCGAGCGTGGCCCGTTCTTGCACTCCCGACAGTGCCGTCACATTGCCGGAGGAGGCAGACGTTCGTACGCAGGTGCTGGGTCTGTGCACGCACTCACACACTGAATGATTACGCCGTCTGCTGTGAGCGTGGCCCGCCTCTGCTCGACCGCGGCGTTGGAGGAAACACCGCAGGTGTTGGTCCTCGTCGGTGGGGGTGCGCAGTTGGCGTCCCCCTTGAGTGGCCTCTTCCGCTTGCGCTGGCCAGGTCCGACTCGGCGCGGCCCTGGGCCGACCAGCCGCGCCCGAAGCTGCGTTCAGACAGCCCGAGCCATGACCACCACGCCCTCGCGGGGTCGCCCCCCCCCCCCCCTCCCGGCCGCGCCAGCCCTCTAGCCCGGGGCCCTCGGCGTCAGCTTAAGCCCGGAAATTTCCACGCGGGGGCCGGGGCGGGGGGGGGGGGAAGGGGCGACTTTCTGCGCTGAGCACGCCCCTCCGGCCTTCGAGCGAGGGGTCATCAACGCAGTGAGGCCATACACCCGATCATGCGTTTTTTTTCACTGCGCGGCCCGCTCCCGTTCCCCACCCTGGGGCCGACTGTCGCCCCGGGCACAATTTTGGGTGGCCTTGGGGCACGAGATGGCGGGCCCCGGAGGCCGAACTCGAGCACAGACCGCCAGGGCTTCCGAACCC